AAAAAAAAAGGGACTCCATAAGAAGCCACCGGAAAACAACGTATACAATAGCCCAAATCCAAACTTCAGTTGAGATGTGCATTGCCAGATGGCCTCAATGTCCAAAGAAGAAAGAGAGGACATGGCCAGATCGTTTGCTTTCTTCAGTGCATACTCTTTCTTGTGGAAGACGGATCCAAATCAAGCCACATCTTCAGCTGATGAGTACTGGTTGGCTATAATTATAGGTCACAGCCACACCTTCTATCAGAGGTCCAGTTTTAGGAACCTGTCATTTTTTGAGTGTGAGAGTTATATTAGCTCCTTGCAAGTATCGTCCACAGGATCTCTAGAGCAAGGACATTATTTTCCCATCCTTTTATGTTGCCTAGAATTTGAAACTTTTGTGGGGATATGACCATAATTAAATGGAAGCATTTTTAGGGCATTTTGAGTCGTCTAATCTCACCAAAACGATGTGTTTGGAGTTGACCCCATGCAGTAGAAAAGGCCATCACAAAAGAAGCCATATTTTCCAAGAGGCAGGGACAAGAGGAGTAGATACATTCATGCCCATCTCCAAACTTCAGCTGAGCCATGCGTTGCCAAATCCAGTCCTTGCTGAACATAAGGCTTCAATGGCCGAAAATGAGGGGACATGGGCAACATGGCCATGAAGCTGTGCACGTAGAAAGCAGCACAGCATCACATATTCTCCTTCAGCTGTCTCTATCAGCACACTTCTTTGTCCCAGCCTCTTTGACGAAAACCGCCCATCAATGTTATTAAATGCAACCCGTCTAGTCCAAAACCAAGATTATGGTTAGACGGAATAATTCAAGTTGACTGGGTCATGAAGATAATTTCGTTTCAGGTATTTTTTTAATATGAAAACAATTATTGTTTTGAAAAAATAAAATAAAAGAAAATCAAATTAGATTTTCATTGAGTAGTCTAAGTTTCACCCAGATAATTTCCACTCAATTTTTTTTTAAACCCAGCTCATTTCAAGTTTAAGGTTTGAGTACTGGTTGGCTATAATTATAGGTCACAGCCACACCTTCTATCAGAGGTCCAGTTTTAGGAACCTGTCATTTTTTGAGTGTGAGAGTTATATTAGCTCCTTGCAAGTTTCGTTTACAGAATCTCTAGAGCAAGGACATTATTTTCCCATCCTTCTATGTTGCCTAGAATTTAAAACTTTTGTGGGGATATTAACATAATTAATTAAATGGAAGCATTTTTAGGGCATTTTGAGTCGTCTAATCTCACCAAAATGATGTGTATGGAGGTGAACCCATCCAGTAGAAAAGGTCATCACAAAAGAAGCCATGTTTTCCAAGAGGCAGGGACAAAAGGAGTAGATACATTCATGCCCATCTCCAAACTTCAGTTGAGCCATGCGTTGCCAAATCCAGTACTTGCTGAACATCAGGCTTCAATGGCCGAAAATGAGGGGACATGGGCAACATGGCCATGAAGCTGTGCACGTAGAAAGCAGCACAGCATCACATATTCTCCTTCAGCTGTCTCTATCAGCACACTTCTTTGTCCCAGCCTCTTTGACGAAAACCGCCCATCAATGTTATTAAATGCAACCCGTCTAGTCCAAAACCAAGATTATGGTTAGACGGAATAATTCAAGTTGACTGGGTCATGAAGATAATTTCGTTTCAGGTATTTTTTTAATATGAAAACAATTATTGTTTTGAAAAAATAAAATAAAAGAAAATCAAATTAGATTTTCATTGAGTAGTCTAAGTTTCACCCAGATAATTTCCACAATTTTTTTTTTAAACCCGGTTCATTTGAAGTTTAAGGTTGATCATTTCTAAAACAAAGTATAATACCACTCTCTCCAGCGATTCCCTTACATTCATTTTTTTTTTAATATTTTGTTGACCTCTTTACTTAGCGTGAAGGTTAAAACCCTTTATCCAATCTTTGCTGAGTGAAGGTGTTTTAGTATTTTACATGAAGAACGCTAGATATCCTTGTGCTTGTATTAACCCTTTTCAATTGAGTGTCTTGAAGTGTTCCACTTGTATTTGTGGCTGTCAAGTTTATCCAATTTCAATACGAAAGAGGATCAATTCTCTGTCTTACACAAGAGCATCATCTTTGACCACACAACTGGCTTATGCTTTATTCAATTTTTAGGCCTTAACCTACATGATAGGTACGCGAATTTCAATCAAGGGAATTCACCAGATATGATGTTGACGCCATGTATGATCAGAAGATGATTGTATATTAGGGGTGGAATAATCATCCTTGTGATATTCAAGCAAAAAGGTAAATTTCTCGCTTTTAATCTCCTTCAGCTGGCTCTATCATTGACACGTCCTAGACTCAGCCTCTTGGATGAAGATCGTCCATCAAGGCTATTCAATCCAACCCCGTTTATGATTTGGCCGAAGAACAAGGTTATGGTTGGACGGAGATTGGGTTGGTTAATCAAAATAATTTTATTTCAAGTGTTTTTTAAAATTAAAACATGTTGTTTACAAAAAAAATTAACTAAGTTTAACCTAATCAACTTTTAAAACCCAACTTGAATTAAGTACTAGGTTAATTTGTCAAGTTGAGTTTAACAACAATATCTCTAATGACCCTCTTCTTTTTTATTTTTGGATAATGTCGACATATATACTTGAATTTGTTATATATCTATGAAATCTTAATAGAGTGAAGGAAGGGTAAAACCCTTTTGTCCAATCTTTGCTAAGTTAGGTTGACTAAATGTTGTTCGTTGGCTTAATAAATGATAGAAATCTTGTAATGTGCAATGAATAGAATATAAACCTCAATAAAAGAAATAGATTTCTTAAAAACTAATAAAGTTAACTGTAAATTTATTAAAAAAAATAAAAAATGCACGAAAACCAGTAAAATCTCAATAGAGACAAGGATAATGGGCTACAGGCCCAGACCTCTAAACTTGATATTAACAAAGGGGGAGGTAGGGTACATCAAAGGGCTGAACTAGTTGCTAAAGTAGTGATGGATAAGATAAAAACCCAAACCCACTCTTTTTTGTTTACTGTTGGGCCTCATATTAGGCTGGATTTGAATAGGGTATCGCTGGAACCGTTTAACAATAATGAGATGAGAGGAGAGCAGAACCAGCTTTGTTCCAAAAGAACTTTCCAGTAAGGATCACAGTCCGCGTCCCCTAGACACTAATCTTACAGAGAAGCTTGAAGTTTTTGTAGGAAAAAATTGGTAAATTAAGTGTGTTCAATCCACGATAATTGACTTAGGAAAACTCTTTAAACCTTGTTTAATATTTTAAATTTATAATTCCTGAAATTGCAAACCTAAGTTTAGTTAAAAAAATTTTTGATTCTGAACTAATTTAATACTAAATAATGAAATTAAAAAACTCATTAAAGCAATAAAATGAATGAATATCAAAATGAAAAAACAAAAATAGTGAAATTAAAAAAAAACAAATTCAATAACTATTTTAAATAAAAAAAATAAAAAAATAGAAACTAAATTTGACAAACAAACTAAAAAATTAAAAGAGAATAAAGTTGACAACAAAATCAAATTTGAGAAGTAAATTAAATTAAAATAAAATGGAATAAAAAAAAAAACTTGAGGAGCTTATTTGTAAATTTAAAAGGTCGAGCACGAACAACTAGGAAAAAAGAGCAAAGAAAGAAAAAAAAAGGGTCATCATTGCTTTACTATTGATCTTTTCACCATACAAGTTGCGAGGAGAAAAAAAAGACCAAGATGAATCAAATGACACAACAGGAAAATGATTTTATAATTGAAATTTATTGCACATGCTACTTGAAGATACTAGAGTGATTGATGCTTGCAAAGCACATATAATAATTTTATTTTTATTTTTTTATTTATAAAAATACTACATTGCCCTGGGATCAAAAATTGAAAAATTATTTTAAAAAAACTAATGTAAAGTGATAGAGAAGCCCATGTAGGCAAGCTTTTGAAAATTTGATTTAAAGGACAATAGAATCATTATAATGTAACAAAAAGATATGAAATATAAAAGAAGCCCCTTAAACCATAGTTAAATGTTTTTTTTTTAAGGGCAATAAAGTGAGTTACTGTACAAAAATTGTGAAAAAACCGAGATTCTCCTAAATGATTTTAGAATAATAGATGATCTAAGTGAGAAGATCATTTTACCTTTTAAAAGGCAGTTTATTATTATTTTTTAAAGATAAAATAGTTAATTTACTATTAAAATCCATCATAGTTTAAGAATATTTACAATATATTTCCCCCATGTTTTAGCTTTTTTTTTAATACTCGATTTAAGATTTAACTCGGTTTTAGATCTTAATCATTAAGTTGCCTCGTCAATTTATAAATCATCGATTCAATCTAGATTAATATTTTTTAAAAAAAAACAATATTATTTTAGTGTTTTTTTTTTTAATTCTTAAATTGACCCAATCAAAATCTCACTCAAATTTATGATCAACTAGATTGCAAGTCAGCACAACGAATTGATGGAATTTGACCTGATCTATGTTCAAAACAATCTGAAGTAAAACTTGACATGGTGAATTCGCTAGACTAGGTCGTTAATAATCCACAAACCAAGCTGCAATGCCGGCAAGTAGCAACTAATATTTCATTTACATTGATTATTATGATGATTGACTGTTGTGATGTCAGGGACTGATATTACAGGTATGCATATTTCGAACTAAGATGGTATTTGCTGGAAACCTATCATGTTAATGGAGTGTGGGAATTTTATTAGTTTCTTGTAAGTCATAGGATCTCTAGCTAGAGTAGTAAGGATCTTAGTTCTCATCCTTAATCTTGTCTTTGCATCGCCAGTCCAGTTAAGCAAAGAAAAAGAAGAACTTCTGTAGATATGAACTGCATTATATAAATCGAAAGCATTTTCACCAAATGATATATTTTAGACTTGACCTGAGCACGGTCATCACAGAACTACAGGCAGTATTTTCCAAGAGGCCTAGTTAACAAGCCACCAAAAAACAACGTATACAGGCCCAAATACGAACTTCAGTTGAGATGAGCATTGCCAGATGGCCTCAATGTCCAAAGAAGAAAGAGAGGACATGGCCAGATCGTTTGCTTTCTTCAGTGCATACTCTTTCTTGTGGAAGACGGATCCAAATCAAGCCACATCTTCAGCTGATGACTGATTGCCTATAATTATAGGTCACACCCTATAATTTATCAAACCATTTGACATCGAAACGCCACAGACAATATATATCACCATTCAAATCTCAGCAGGATCGTGAATTTTCTTACATGTAATGGCACTGAATACTAAAACTAATCCAAAAATCTAATAAACATAGATAACCTAGAATTTTTTTACATAAAAATCTATTAAAATCTGACATCCAAGTGTAGAGAGTAATAAATAAAATGGGAGATGCAAGTGAGAGTCCATTTGTTTTTTTAAATCATAGATCCGTACAAAATGTCAATGCTCTCTTTTAGGGGAGGGGAAAAAAATTCATTTATAGTAACAAAAGTAACCATGTGAAGTGATTTTACGAGTATTGTCTACCACTGCATAAGTACATATTCCCCTTGAAAAAAAAATTTCTGGGACCGTGGGGGCCGTCATAGACACACCGTATCTTCAACGGTGATTTATATGATATATTTATGATTTCCTATCTTAACCATCGTGATTTTTTTTTTTTTAATATGGCTCTGTATCACGGTTCTATTGAGAAATTAAAGAAGAAAACCCGTAAAAATCATTTCAATTCGTTCTTTTTTTTTTCTATTAATAAACACATTTTCCTAAGTTTGTAGAGAAAAAGAGAGGAATTGATAGGATTTCTATGAGATTTTAATTTCTTCAATTTCTCAATAGAATTATAATGAATAAGCATATTCAAGAAATCATAAGGTTTACGATGAAAAATGAAGAATCTTTTTTATATAGAAAGGTATCTTCTTCTTTGTTCTTTTTTTCTTCTTCCAATTTAACGAGATGATAAGATTATGTGGAAAACTAATGTGGATGCCGACGGCTCAATAGAACTCAGTTGTCCCGCCATGCAGAGATCAAGGACGAAGACTCTTCAACTTAAGAAGTCTTCGTCCTCTTTGCGTGGTGGGTTGACTAATTAATTCTACTTCTAGTCAATACATATTACTCTTATTTATTTGTTGAGTTCTGGCATGGATTGATAGTTATGAAAGCATCTACACCTCAGTGCCAAATTATTATGGATTCCACCTTACAGCGATGACTCTTTAACTTGAGAAGTCTTCGTCGTCTTCGCATGGTAGGGCGACTAGTTCTTCTTCTAATTTCTTTGTCGAATTTTGGCAAGGATTGATAGTAATAAAAAAACATCGATATCGCAGCGGAAAACTAATGTGGACACTTCCATAGAACTAGTTGTCCTAGCATGCGGAGATCAAGGACGAAGACTCTTCAACTTATGGAGTCTTCGTCCTCTTGGCATATTAGGGCGACTAGTTCTATTTCTGATTAATACATATTATTCTAATTTATTTTTGGACTTTTGGCAAGGGTTGATAGTTATAAAAAACATCTAAATCTCAGCTCTAGAGAAGATCCATTGCAGAGCAAGGTTTGAGCTTCAAACAAGTAAGTGATAGGTATTATTTTAACCAGTATCAATTGCTTCTCGATCAATCGATTAACCATTGTTGTAACATGCAGGTATTTGATATATAAATTGGTTTGTTTTTTCTGTGCCTCAATTTCAATCTCTGTAAGTACTCAAAAATCCTTCACCATGCATGAGTCAACTCACAAGTAGCACTGTAGATTATTGTTTTTACGATTCGATAGGATCTTGAAGGGAGAGATTATTATTATATACGGAAATTATATACACGTGCTTCTTTCAACAAAACCCAACATCTTTCATGAGTAAACATGTGCCATTGAAGTTAAGATGAGTGTAACAAGGTGACAATGCTACTAGCAAAATACAAAAAAAAAAAAAAAAAAAACTAATATATCTCAGCTCCTAAGCTAAATATAAGTTCTCTCAATAGTGTAACTCAATGTTCAAAGAGACATTAACTTTTTAATTCGTTTTATTTGTCAAAAAATGAATCTATTGATGCTTTTCTTCTATATTGTTGATGTTGTCCGAACTCAAGACCCCATTTACTCCCTCTTCTTCCCCTTCTTCTTGCTAAACGTCCTTGAGAATAGAACATTATCCTTGTTAAAAGCAGTGACAGAACCGAAGGGGACTAGAGGGTGTAGTTGCCCTTTTCATTCTTTCACCTATAACACTTTTTAAATAAGTAACTAGTTACGTGAGCCATGTTGCATTACCGATCAGTTATTTTTATTTTTTATTAAAAAATTATATATGTGGGCTTTTTTAATGCATTTTTATGATTTAAAAAATTTAAGTGCAAATTAAAAATTTTATGCATATATATAATAAAATAAATCAAGAATAATATGTGTTGATAAAAAAATACAATAAAAATTATTTATAATACATAAAAATAAAACTTGAAAAATCAAGATAGGTCTACATCAAGATATTTAATCTTGCAAGATAGAATATTTACCTAGTTATTTTTGATAAATTTTATTGATTAAAATATTTTTTTCTTCAATCAAATATTTTTCTTCAATCAAATGATAAGAAAAATAGATAAACACATTAAATTTATTGAATAAAAAAAATATTATGCAAAACTACACATATTAGAAATATTATATGAAAATAATTTTTTTATTTTCAAAAATAAAATTCATCTACAAAAATATTAAAAAAAATATTGATGAATCAGAATCTCTTCAAGAATTAAACATACACAAAATAATTTTTTTAAAAACTCTCTATCTAAAAAAAGTTAAAAAAGCAAATAAAAAAAATCACAAAAGAGTGATATTAATTGAAGTATAAATTTAAAAATTATTTAAAAAAAGATATGATAAAAAAAATATTGATTAAAATAAACTAAAAAAAATAATAGTTTGTTTGACCTATTTTATCAAGGCTCACATGTGGGCCCTCTCTAGGCTTGTATGTCTAGGCCCTTTTTTATATTTTTGTCTTCGGTGTAAATGACATATTATCTGCCCTCAATTGTTTTGAAAAAAATAAACAAATGATGTTTTGTCTATTTTTACTTGGATTTTGGCCGCTATGATAACCGAATAATTAGAAATTATGTGTTTTTGACCTAAAATTAATTTTTTAACTCATTTTTTTTATAACAAAAACACCTATAAAAATCTTAAGAACCATAGTAAACTTATTTATGATTTTAAAAAATAAAAGAGCATCCAAAAAACCAAAATCAACCCGAAATGAAAAATTACCCAAGTTTAGACCTATATATATTAGTAACTAATTTGTTATAGAAAAACACAATGAAAAGTTATAGGACCAAAAGTAAAACTCATAAAATTGTGATAGCCAATCTTAAATTAGCACATTAAAGTTCTTTTTTATCCCTATATTTTCATTTTCCTTCTATTATAGTCCCTTTATTTTTCTGGAGTTTCATTTTATTTCAATTTTTTTAGTTTTTATTATGAGAAAGCCATTGATGAGAGAGGAGTTCAATAATGATGGTTTTTTTATATAAATATATCTGAAAATATAGATTGGGTTACTTGTAGATTTTTTAATTCAATTAATTTTTATTTCTTGAGTAATTTTAGCTTTGATAAGTGATTTATTAAAAAATTTATAGTATTTAATATATTGATATTATTAGATGAAAATTAGTTAAAAATAAATTGTTAAACCATAAACACTCTCCCCTTGATTTTCCAGCCACCACAGCATTCCGGGAAGTGCTTGGCAATAAGTGGCAATAAGTTGTTTGCCACTGCATATCACCTATCATCCACTTAGAAAAAAAAAAAACATAGAATAAAAAAAAGAGGTGCGTGTATAGGTTTCCAGGCACTAATCTAGGCTTCTAAGCTCAAGTGTAGCTGAATTTTCTGATTAAAGCTAGGCACGTGGGCACGTGCTTGGGCCCCTTTAAAAGGGTCAGACGTGCTGGGCTACCCAAGCTCATGCATTAGGCTCCCTTTTATTTATTTTTTATTTTTTATAAATTAATTAATTAAAAATATTAGCTTATTAAATTAAATAAAAATATATTTTAGATGTTATTTTATTAAATATCAATAATTTATTTTTTCAAAAGTGCAGGAGTCATTATTAAATATTTTATTTTACATTTCATCACCATTTTTTTAAAAGTTTTGCACGGTTGCTTTTCTATAGTGTTTATTTTAATTATTATATAATTAATACTTTAATTATTATATAATTAAATAAAAACTATTTTTAAAAATAATATTATTAAATTCATTTGGGTCAATAATTTAAGTCAAATATCTAATGAGTTGATATAAGTAATCAAATATATTATCATTTAATATTTAAAAATAAAATTTCCTTTATATACCTCAAATTTTGATTTTTTTTTTTTAACGTTTTGAATTTATAATCAATATGTTTCTTGTCCATATAAAAGAGATCAGTAACACGCACATTTTTAATTACATTCAAAATAAAGTTTTAGATGAATCGTCGGGACATTTTTTTAAACATTTTTGCATCCATTGATTTCAGGAAAAAGAGATGAGTCGTCGGGACACTTTATACGTTCAAATCGACAAAAAGCTTAGAGATTTGCCTTCTAATCACTCAACATGCAGTATTTTCAAGGTTCCTGGTCGCCTCCGCCATGTAAACGAAAGGGCATTTGAGCCGGAAATCCTCTCCATCGGCCCTTATCATCGTGGAAAGGATAAATTGAAGATGATGGAAGAACATAAAAAACGTTATCTACAAAAGCTTCTTCAACGCAGAGCGGAAAGTAGCGTGCAAAGATATGTTACGGCCATGATTAGGGTGGAAGGAGAAGCTCGTAAATTTTATGATCAGTCCGTAAGTCTAGGCCAGGATGAATTTGTCGAAATGCTGCTTCTTGATGGTTGCTTCATTGTTGAGCTTATTCGCAAGTATAACAATATTCCAGGAGTAAGAGATGACAATGACCCTGTTTTCGAAGTGTCATGGATCCTCTCAAGCATAGAAACTGATATGTTTTTACTTGAAAATCAACTTCCATTCTTTGTTCTTTGGGAGTTGTTTACTATGACGTCTGAGGTGCAGAACGAAGACTTCTTTGGTATGGCCTTAAGTTTTTGCCAGCGGATATTTCCAGGCTCAGGAAACCATAGAATTCCTGAGAATAAATACGAGCATCTTCTGGAAATATTATATCATACTGGGTATCAGCCGCCTATTACGAGGGCATCACAGGACAACGATCGGTATTTCATACGCAATGCCAAAGAGCTGCAAGAAGCTGGCATTAAATTGAAAAAGCGAGAGGGGTCAGAGAGGTTGTTTGATGTTGTCTTCTTGGAAAATGGCACGATAGAAATCCCATGTTTGAGAATTTATGACACAACAGAGTCGCTATTCCGAAATCTTGTAGCCTATGAACAGTGCTCGCAGAGCAAGCATCTGTACGTCACTGATTATATAACTCTGATGGATTGTTTAATCAGCACTCAAGAAGATGTGCAGATACTTCGACACTCGGGAATTATTGAAAATGGGTTGGGCGATGATGGAATGGTCTGCTCCTTGTTCAATAAACTAGGCATAAATGTCATTCTCTCCCATCGTCGTTACTTCTATTATGATAAAGTATTCGACGGTGTGAAGGAGCATTGCAATCGGAAGCGCAATGTATGGATGGCGAAACTGCAGCATAATTATTTCAACAGTCCATGGGCACTGCTTTCGTTTTTAGCCGCTGTTGCATTGCTTCTATTCACCCTGGTACAAACTGTGTTTACAGTCATGTCTTATTTCCAAAAGGATTAGCGTGACACAGATCCATTACAGAATGCTGTCTTGTTTCAAATAATTAAACTCTCCAACCATCTTTTCCATGTTAGACAATCTTCAGCTGAAGAAAGTCTGTGTTTGATGGATCAATGGTATATCTCTGCCTTTCTCCGATTCTGAATGAATGCTTATGTATTCGTGATTCTAATAGAACTTCATATGCCTGTATTTGATGGATCAATTATGTAATAATGACTATGCTTTGTTATTCTAATGCCGAATGAAGGTTTTTATTTTCTTTATCTTCCTTTTTATGTTTATCTTTCTAATTATAGTTTGAGCAATGTAGAATTTTTCTAGAACTATATAGCCCATTTGTTTTCTCATCATTATTCTTAATGTATTGTGTGATTTTTATTTTCACAAATTATCAGTCTTATCAATATCATCCCAAATTTATCAAAAATTAAGAAATATTGCTTTGTATGCAAGAACCTCGAGGTATTTTTTAATGTATTTTGGTTGTTCAATAGGAAATAATATTTTAAAAAGATCTCTATCCAAAAAAAGTTAAATAAGCAAAAAAAATCACAAATAACTGATATTAATTGAAACATAAATTTAAAAATTATTTAAAAAAAGATATTTTAAAAAAAGATATCAATAAAAATAAACTAGAAGAAAAAAAATAATAGTTTGTTTAGCCCATTTTATCAAGGCCCACACGTGGGCTTTCTCTAGTAGGCCTGCATGTCTAGGTCTTTTTTTTTTGTGTTTTTTTTGGTGTAGACAACATGTTCTCTGCCCTTATTGTTTTGAAAAAAATAAATAAATGACGTGTTATTTGTTTTTGCCTGGATTTTGGCCATCGTGATTGTTGAAAAATTAAGACTTATGTGTTTTTGACCTAAAACCAATTTTTCAACTCATTTTTTATACCGAAAAAACTTATAAAAATCTTAGGAACTGCGGTAAATTTATTCATGATTTAAAAAAATTAAAAAGCACCCCAAAAACCAAAATCAACCCAAAACAAAAAATTACCCAAGTTTAGATTTGTTTTTTTCATGAATGTTAAAGGTAAAAAAACACCTAATATGAACTTTTCTCATCAAATAAAATCATTTGATACAAATATTATCTATTTTGGTAATATAAATTAGTGTCAATAACATGTTTTTTCTCTATTGCTGAAATTCAATGATTTCTCTCTCCTCTCTTACCCAGGGTCTAGAAATAACATAAATTAACTTTTGTACTAAAATAGAATTTAAATTTTATAATATGAGTTATTTTTGAAGTTCGAGGATCAAAATTTATCTTTTATAAAATTTATAGCATGTCATCTATGTTTAATATTTTTTTTATTTTGATCTTTCTTCTTTCAATTGTAATATTTTATAAGAAATCAAAATTAACTGATTTTCAATTAAGAGTAACTTACCAAAAAAAATTGAGCATAAAATTTTAAAAAACAAAATTTGCAGAAGAATTCATTTACAATAATGTACAAGAGAATGAGTAGTGAAATCTTGCACAGGAAAAAATGATCATATCCACTGAAGAATATATATATATATATATATATATATATATATATATATCTGTTTGGATACCGAAAAGAATATAAATGCTACTTCCAAGCTTGGAAATTACTATAAACACTAAAAGATTTCGGGGAAAAAAAATTGTGAGTGCATTGTGGATTCATAAGGGTTTTTGTTTTTTTTTTTTGCTTTTTATTCTTTTTAATTGGGTCTCTTTTTTTTTTTTTATCAAGTTAGTAACTAATTTGTTATAAAAAAACACAATTAAAAGTTATAAGATCAAAAGTAAAACTCTTAAAATTGTGATGGCCAATCTTAAATTAGCACACTTTCTTTTTTATCCCTATATTTTCATTTTCCTTCTGGTATAGTCCCTTTATTGTTTTTTTGGAGTTTCATTTCATTTCAATTTTTTTAGTTTCTATTATAAGAAAGCTATTGATAAAAGAAGAGTTTGATGATGGTGGTTTTTTCATATAAATATATCTGAAAATATAGATTGGGTTACATGTAGAATTTTTAATTCGGTTAATTTATATTTCTTAAGTAATTTTGGTATTGATAAGTGATTTATTAAGGTTTTTATGGTGTTTAATATATAGATATTTTTAAATAAAAATTAATTGAAAATAAATTGTTAAATCATAAATCCTCTCTTCTTGATTTTTTAACCATCATAATGGTAACCACATTTCAGGCAACGCTTAGTTGGCAATAAGTTATTTGCCACAATACATCACCTATCATTCACTTAGGGAAAAAAAAACATAGAAGCGAACATCAAAGAAAAAAGATAGGTGCGTGTATTGGTTTTCAAGCACCAATCTAGACTTCTAAGCTCAAGTGCAGCAGAGTTTTCTGATTAAAGCCAGCCACGTGAGCATGGCTCGGAAGGTCACGTGCTTAGGCTCTTTTCAAAGAGTCAGACGTGTTGTGCTCCCCAAGTTTGTGCACTTGACTCATTTTTTTTTTAAATTTAATTAATTTAAAATATTACTTTATTAAATTAAATAAAAATACATTTTAGATATTATTTTATTAAATATCAATAATTTGTTTCTTCAAATATGAGTTCAAGACTCATTATGAAATATTTTGTTTTACATCCTATTATTATTTTCTAAAAAGTTTTGTACAAAAAAGTGTTTATTTTAATTATTATATAATTAAATAAAAAAATTCTAAAAAATAATATTATTAAATCTAATCAGATTTATAATTTAAATCAAATATTTAATAAATTAACCTGAGTCAATCAAATATATTATCATCTAATATTTAAAAATAAAATTTATTTTATATACCTCAATTTTTTTTTCTTTTTTTAACATTTTGAATTTATAGTCAATATGTTTCGTGTCCGTAGAAAAGAGATCAGTAACGCGCACATTTTTAATTGCATTCAAAATAAAGTTTTAGATGAATCGTCGGGACTTTTTTTTAAACCTTTTTGCATCCGTTGATTTCAGGAAAAAGAGAAGAGTCGTCGGGACCCTTTATACGTTCAAATCGACGAAAAGCTTGGAGATTTGCCCTCTAATCACTCAACATGCAGTATTTTCAAGGTTCCTAGTCGCCTCCACCATGTAAACGAAAGGGCATTTGAGCAGGAAATCCTCTCCATCGGCCCTTATCATCGTGGAAAAGATAAATTGAAGATGATGGAAGAATATAAAAAACGTTATCTACAAAAGCTTCTTCAACGCAGAGTGGAAAGTAGCGTGGAAAGATATGTTACGGCCATGATTGGGGTGGAAGGAGAAGATCGTAAATTTTATGATCAGTCCGTAAGTCTAGGCCAGGATGAATTTGTTGAAATGTTGCTTCTTGATGGCTGCTTCTTGTTGAGCTTATTCGCAAGTATAACAATATTCCAGGAGTAAGAGATGACAATGACCCTGTTTTCGAAGTGTCATGGATCCTCTCAAGCATAGAAACTGATATGTTGTTACTTGAAAATCAACTTCCATTCTTTGTTCTTTGGGAGTTGTTTACTATGACGCCTGAGGTGCAGAGCGAAAACTTCTTTCGTATGGCCTTAAGTTTTTGCCAGCGGATATTTCCAGGCTCAGGAAACCATAGAATTCCTGAGAATAAATACAAGCATCTTCTGGACATATTATATCATGTTGGGTATCAGCAGCCTATTACGAGGGCACCACAGGACAACGATTGGTATTTCATACGCAATGCCAAAGAGCTGCAAGAAGCTGGCATTAAATTCAAAAAGCGAGAGAGATCAAGGAGGTTGTTTGATGTTGTCTTCTTGGAAAATGGCACGATAGAAATCCCATGTTTGAAAATTTATCACTCAACAGAGTCGCTATTCCGAAATCTTGTTGCCTATGAACAGTGCTCTCAGCGCAAACATCTGTACGTCACTGATTGTATAACATATCAGTGCTGGGCCAGCACCAGCTTGGCCCAGCAACAAAACAAACGTGGGGCCCATCCTCTTGCATGCAGAACGTGCAGGAGGAAATGAAGCACACGAAAGAAAAAAAAATGAGGGGGAAGAAGAGTTACCTGGGGCGGAAGAGGCGGTGTCTTGCTGCTCTGACTGCTTCGCTGGCGGTGCTGCGGTGGAGGCCGGTGGATCACGGACGGCGTCTCCAAGTAGCGGTGATACTGTTTCAAGCGGTGGAGAGAGAGATTCTTGCTCTTCCCCTCTTCTCTAGTTTTTTGTTTTTTTCTTTCTCTTCTTTCGTTTACCAGTGGTTTGTCCCTTCTTCCTCCCGGCTTTTTAAAATTCCCTCCCCTGTTTCAAGCTTCCCCGTGTTCTTTCCTTTCTCTCTCTATATTTCATTTCCTCTCTTTCTATTCTCTTCGTCCTCTCTCCCTTGCGGTTCTTTTTTTTTTTTTTTCCGTTCTCCGATCCCCTCCTTTTTGTTGGAGTTGAGTGCGGTATTTATAGGACAATGGGCAGCGGGGGGGTCCTCATTACCGCCCTATCACTATGCAAGGGGAGCAGGGCTTTACTGCCCTGCCACGACGCCGGGTTGGTTGGCCAGTAGGCGTGGCTGGCAGGGCGCGGCTCCCTCGGTTTCCCTTCACGAGGGCGCATGGGGCTTTGGGTTTTGGCAAAGCACACGGCACGAAAGAGTAAATAAAAAAAAAAAAACAAAACCTCTATCTTCTCGATCCTGCTGGATGTTCAGGGGAAGAAGGAGGAGGAATGTAGCTCAAAATGATATTATTTTATTTTATTTTAATATGAAACAGTGTTATTTTAAATAAAACATACTGTTTCATGTCAACACATTTGTTTTTTAAAAGATATAGATATAATTAAATTAATTCTTAAAATTAAAATTACATTTGAGGATTTAAAGAACAAATAATAAATTAAGGATTGAATTGGAAATGAATGTGTTGGTGTTAAATGTAACAGCACGTTTTGTTTAAAATGATACCATTTCATGTGAAAAAAAACATCTATTTTTTATTGTATTATTGGTCTTCTAACTTATGACTAATAAAATCATAGAATACGAGTAATACAATAAAAATTAAGTGAATCTGTTATCCTTTTATCTCGTTCAAATTTCCCAAAAAAAGAGGCATCAATGTGTTAATATTTGTGATTCATTAATTATTAATTAATTTCCATTTCATATAAGTTATAGAGAAGTAGCATCTCTGCTATCAATCCCCAATATTTGTTTATTTTCCTCTTCTCATCTTCAAACGTTGCCTTGACAGAAAACAGTATAGATAGAACAAAATATAGCTTGATTTAGTTTACTCTAACAATCCCAAATTTGTCAAACCATTTGACATCGAAATGCCAAAGACTATATATATCACCATTCAAATCTCAACAGGATCATGAATTTTTTTACCTGTAAAGGCAACGGATACTAAAACTTATCCAAAAATTTAATAAACATAGATAACCAAGAAATTTTTAGCAGAAAAATCTAATAAAATCTTCCCAAGTGTAGAGAGTAATAAATAAAATGGGAGAGGCAAATGAGGGTCCGTTCAACATGTTAATGCTCTCTTTTAGGGGAGTGGAAAAAAAATACATTTATAGTAACAAAAGTGACCATGTGAAGTGACTGTATAAGTACTGTATACCACTGCATAAGTACATATGCCCCTTGACAGAAAATTTTCTGGGACTGTGTGGGCATGTGCCTTCATAGACACACCGTATCTTCAACGGTGTTTTATATGATAAATTTATTATTTTCTATCTTAACCATCGTGATTTTTTTTTTTAATATGTCTTTGTATTAGGGTTCTACTGAGGAATTAAAAAAGAAAACCCATAAAAATCATTTCAATTCCTTTTTTTCTCTATTAATAAACAGATTTTTCTATGTTTGTAGAGAAAAAGAGAGGAATTGATAGGATTTCTATGAGTTTTTTTCCTTCAATTTTCCAATAGAATTATAATAAATAAGCATATTCAAGAAATCATATGGTTTAAGATGAAAAATGTGGATGCCGACGGCTCCATAGAACTCAGTTTGTCCCGCCATGCAGAGATCAAGGACGAAGTATTCTTCAACTTAAGAAGTCTTCGTCCTCTTTGCATGGTGGGGTGACTAGTTAATTCTACTTCTAATCAATACATATTACTCTAATTTATTTGTTGAATTTTGGCGAGGATTCATGATAGTTATAAATGCATCTATATCTCAGTGGCAAATTATTGTGGATTCCACCTTACAGTGATATGACTCTTTAACTTGAGAAGTCTTCGTCGTCTTCGCACGGTAGGGCGACTAGTTCTACTTCTGATTAATACATTGTTGGGAAAAAGATTGACAACACCAATGAATACACAATTTACAAATATCAATTCTTTTTTTTTTCAATTAAAATTAGAATCATCTAATCAATAAATTTATAAGATCAAACATACAAATTAACACCAAAATCTTTATATAAAAAGTCTGATATGAGAAAAATTACAAGATTGTAATTTACCTAAAAACTTTCACTATCAATAAATAATAGATTTATAAATATCTTTTTAATTTAATTAAGGATTACAACATATATATTTTTAAGAATAATCTATTATTAGAATACAATAAAATTAAAGAAAGAAATGTTTAAGAAAAACTCACGATAGACTTTTGATTTTTAATAAAATAATCAGTTTTTTATATCATTAATGTTTTATTTAACTGTTTAGAATGAAGATTAATATATCTATAAATAATCATTAAAATCTCAATCAGATCCAGCAATTAATAGAAATAGAAGAGAGACTGTTGTGCGGACTCTTTTTCCCTTGTTTATCTTCTCTCTTTTGCTAAGTCTGTCCAGTTGCTCCAGTGCTAATTATCTGTGTTTGTAAAGAGGCAAGCTGCTGCCCCTTGCCAATTAAATGCGGTGGTCCTACCATCATGTGATGGGCATCACACGCACAACATACATGTTTTTCTAATTTCTTTGTCGAATTTTGGCAAGGATTGATAGTAACAAAAAAAACATCGATATCTCAGCCGAAAACTGATGTGGACACTTCCATGGAACCAGCTGTCCCAGCATGCACAGATAAAGACGAAGACTCTTCAACTAATGAAGTCTTTGTGCTCTTGGCACAGGAGGGCGACTAGTTCTATTTCTGATCAATACATATCATTCTAATTCATGATAGTTATAAAAAGCATCTACATATATATATCTCAGCTCCAGAGAAGATCCATTGCAGAGCAAGGTTTGAGCTTCAAACAAGTAAGTGATAGGTATTATTTTAACCAGTATCAATTGCTTCTCGATCAATCGATTAACCATTGTTGTAACATGCAGGTATTTGATATATAACTTGGTTTGTTTTTTCTGTGCTTCAATGTCAAACCCTGTAAGTACTAAAAAATCCTTCACCATGCATGATTCCACTCACAAGTAGCGCTGTAGATTATTGTTTTTACGATTCTAGGATCTTGAATGGATAGATAATTATTCCTATGAAAATTATATACATATGCTTCTCTCAACAAAACCCAACATCTTTCATGAGTAAACATGTGCCATTGAACCAAGCAGCTTGTAGCTCAGTGGCGTAAGGCACTGCTCGCTTTCTTTCGAACCTCGGTTCGAGTCCCAGTGGGAGTGGGGCTGGCGAGTGGTGTCCTTCCTGGCTCTGCTGGGTTCTTGCTATGTGGTACGCCTGTCGCCCCCGCGGTGCCTAACCTGTTCACTGAGGCTTGCAGGATGTCCAGTGGGCCGTGGGATTAGTCGTGGTGCGCGTAAGCTGGCCCGGACACCCACGTTAATCAAAAAAAAAAAAAAAAACATGTGCCATTGAAGTTAATATGGGTGTAACAAGGTGACAATGCTACTGGCAAATTACATGAAAAAAACTAATATCACAACTCCTAAGGTAAATATAAGTTCTCTCAATGGTGTAACTCAATGTTCGAAGAGACATTAACTTTTTAATGCTTTTTATTTGTCAAAAAATGAATCTATTGATGCTTTTCTCCTATATTGTTGATGTTATCCGAATTCAAGACCCCATTTTCTTGTTCTTCTTGCTAAACGTCCTTGAGAATAGAACACTATCCTTGTTAAAAGCAGTGACAGAACGAAAGGGGACTGGAGGGTGTAGTTGCCCTTTTCATTTTTTCCCCTTTTCATTTCTTCTGTAAGTAACTAGTTATGTGAGCTGTTTTTTTGCTGTAAGTAAGGTATTTTTATTTTTTATAAAAAAATATATATGCAGATTTTTTGAATGTATTTTTGTGGTTTAAAAACTTCAAGTGCAAATCATAATTTTTATGCATAATCAAATAAATCAAGAACAATGTGTGTTGATAAATAAATCAAAAATCATTTACAATACCTAAAATAAAATTTTAAAAATCAAGAAACAGGGCTACATCAAAATATTTAATCTCACAAGAAGCAACATTTACCCAGTTATATTTGCTAAATTAATTTTGTTTATATTTTTTTATTCAATTAAATGATAGTAGAAATAGACAAATACATGAAATTTATTGAACAAAATAAAAAAATAGTATGCAAAGCTACACATATTAGAAATATTATCTAAAAATAAAAAAAATATTTTTTTTTAAAATCCAATTATACAAAATATTAAAAAAATTATTGATGAGTCAGAATCTCTTCAAGAATTAAATACACACAAAATAATTTTTTTAAAAAATCTCTATCAAAAAACAGTTGAATAAGCAAATAAAAAAAATAACAAATGACTAATATTAATTGAAACATAAATTTAAAAATCATGTTTTTAAAAAAGACAAGTTCAAAAAAGATATGAATAAAAAACCAAATAGAAGGAAAAAAATAATAGTTTGTTTGATCTATTTTGTTAGGGTTCACATGTAGGCCTTCCCTAGTAGGGCAACATGACTAGGTCCTTGTTTTTTTGATGTCATTGGTGCAGACGACATCTTGTATGTGCTAATTTGTTTTTTTTTTTTAAAAAAAACAAATGACATGCATCTATTTTCTCCTAGAATTTGATCACTGTAATGACTAAAAAATTAGGACTTCAGTGTTTTTTACCCAAAAACTAATTTTTCAACCCATTTTTTCCCCAAAAAAACCTATTAAAATCTTAGGAACCGTGTTGAAGTTATCATTGTTCTAAAAAAGTACCCCAAAAACCAAAATCAACCCGAAACCAAAAATCAACTCAAGCTTAGATTTATTTTTTCACAATCTTTGAAGGTAAAAAAAAAACCGTAATATGAACTTCTCTCATTAAATAAAATTCTTTAACACAAATATTATTTATTTTGGTGGCCTAAATCAATGTTAACAACATATTTTGCTCTTTACCCTGGAATCTGTTGATCTCTCCCTCTCCTATCTTAACCAAACTCTAAAATAAATACAAATTAAATTTGGTACCAAAATAGAATTAGAATTTTATAATTTGTGTTATTTTTAAAGTTTGAGGACCAAAGTGTATCTTTTGTGAGACTTATGACACACCACCCATGTTTAGTGCCTTTTTTGTTTCGTTCCCTTTTCTTTCAATTCATCATTTTGTAAGAATCAAGATTAATTGGTTTTCAATTAAGACTAAATCACCAAAAAAATAGTTTGAGAACAAAATTAAAAATAAATAAATTTTACGATGTCCATTGACAATAATATATGAGAAAATGAGTATTGAAACCTTGCATAGAAAAAAAAACTCATGCCTTATAATTTTATACTTAATGATCATACCCCTAAAGGAAAAAAAATCACATATATATAGTGATATTTGTTCATAAATGGATACCCAAAAGAATATAAATGCTACTTCCAAGCTTGGAAATTAGTAGAATCACTAAAAGATTTGGGGAAAAAATAATACTGAGTGCGTAGTGGATTCGTATGATTTTTTTTTTAATTGGATCATTTTTTTTTATCAAATTAGTAACTAATTTGTTATAATTTGTTATAGAAAAACACAATTAAAAGATATAGGACCAAAAGTAAAACTTAGAAAATTATGATTGCTAATCTTAAATTAGCACAACAAAAGTTTTTTTTATCCTTTTATTTTTATTTTTCTTCTATTATAGTCCCTTTATTTTTTTGGAGTTTCATTTCATTTCAAAATTTTATTTTTTTATTTTAGTTTTTAGTTTTTATTTTAAAAAAGCCATTGAAAAGAAAGGAGTTCAATGGTAGGGGTTTTTTTGAGTTCAATGGTAGGGTTTTTTTATCTATAAAATTGTTTGAAAATATAGATTGGATTCTTTGTAGATTTTTTAATTCAATTAATTTTTATTTCTTGAGTAATTTTGGGTTGATAAGTGATTTATTAAGATTTTTATGTGTTTAATAGGTATTTTAAAATGAAAATATATTTAAAAATATATTTTTAAACCATAAATTCTCTTCTCTTGATTTTCCAACCACCACAATAGTGGCTGAATTTCAAGCAACACTTAGATGTCAATGAATATATTTGTTATTGTAGTTGTGTTTTTAAAAAAATAATTTTTTTAAAAATAAACTCAAATAACCTATCATCTGCCTGGAAAAAAAAACATAAAAGTACTCTGAAGAAAAAAAAGAGGTGCGGGTTTCCAAGCACTAGTATATGCTTCCAAGCTTAAGTGCTGCCGAGTTCTCTGATTAAAACCAAGCACGTGGGCATGGCTAGGAAGGCCATGTGCTTGGGCCCTTTTTAGAGGATTAGGCATGCTGAGGAACCCAAGCGTGTGCACTTGGCCCCTTTTCCTTTTCTTTTTTTCTTGTTCTTTTTTAATTTTATTTTTTAAAAAAATTAATTAATTTAAATATTAGTTTATTAAATTAAATAAGAATATATTTTAGATATTATTTTATTAAATATAAATTATTTTTTTCTTTTTTTAATATGAGCATAGGAGTCATTATTAAGTGTTTTGTTTTACATCCCATCATTATTTTTTAAATTTTTTTTATGGTTGCTTTTTTATCATATTTATTTTAATTATTATATAATTAAACAAAAATTATTTAAAAAAAATAATGTTATTAAATATAGTCGGGTCTATAATTTAAGTCACATGCTTGAAGAGTTGACTCGAGTCAATAAATAATATTATCATTTGATATTTAAAAATAAAATTTATTTTGTAGGTGTTTGGAAATGCGATAATTGTTATTTTTTAAATTTTTTTTATTATAAAGTATTAAAATATTTTTTTTATTTTTAAAAAATTATTTTTAATATCAACACATCAAAATAATCCGAGAATACCTGAAAAGTATTAATTTGAAGCAAAAATAAAATAAATTAAATTTTTTAAAAAATACTTTTGAAAGGCAAAAGCAAATAGAAGTTTTATATACCTCAAATTTTGAATTTATAAGGAACATTTAATTTTGAATTTATAAGCAATATGTTCCTTGTCCATAGAAAAGACATCAGTACAACGCACATTTTTAATTATATTCAAAATAAAGTTTTGGATGAATCGTTGGGACTTTTTTAAAACATTTTTGTATCCGTTAATTTCAGATGAGTCGTTGGGACCCTTTAATCGTTCAAATCGACGAAAAGCTTAGAGCGCCTTCTAATCACTCAACATGCAGTATTTTCAAGGTTCCTAATCGACTCCGCCATGTAAACCAAAGGGCATTTGAGCCGGAAATCCTCTCCATCGGCCCTTATCATCGTGGAAAAGATAAATTGAAGATGATGGAAGAATATAAAAAACGTTATCTACAAAAGCTTCTTCAACGCAGAGCGGAAAGTAGCGTGCAAAGATATGTTACGGCCATGATTAGGGTGGAAGGAGAAGCTCGTAAATTTTATGATCAGTCCGTAAGTCTAGGCCAGGATGAATTTGTTGAAATGTTGCTTCTTGATGGCTGCTTCTTGTTGAGCTTATTCGCAAGTACAATATTCCAGGAGTAAGAGGTGAAGATGACCCTGTTTTCGAAGTGCCTTGGATCCTCTCAAGCATAAAAACTGATACGATGTTACTTGAGAATCAACTTCCATTCTTTGTTCTTCGGGAGTTGTTTACGAAGATATCTGAGGATCAGAACGAAGACTTCTTTAGAATGGCCTTAAATTTTTGCCAGCGGATATTTGGAGGCTCAGGAAACCATATAATTCCTGAGGAAGTATGCAAGCATCTTCTTGACATAATGTATCGTACCAATCAGCAGCCTATTACGACGGCACCACAGGACAACGGTTGGTATTTCATACGCAATGCCAAAGAGCTGCAAGAAGCGGGCATTAAATTCAAAAAGCGAGAGGGATCAAGGAGTTTGTTTGATGTTGTCTTCAAGGAAAATGGCACGATAGAAATCCCATGTTTGGGAATTGATGACTCAACAGAGTCGCTATTCCGAAATCTTGTTGCCTATGAACAGTACTCTCGGCGCAGACATCTGTACGTCACTGATTATATAACACTGATGGATTGTTTAATCAGCACTCAAGACGATGTGCAGATACTTCGACACTCCGGAATTATTGAAAATGGGTTGGGCGATGATGAATGGTCTGCTCCTTGTTCAATAACCTAGGCAAAAATGTCGTTCTCTCCGATCCTCTTTACTTTTATTATGAGCAAGTATTCAACCGTGTGAAGGAGCATTGCAATCGGAAGCGCAATGTATGGTTGGCGAAACTAAAGCATAATTATTTCAACAGTCCATGGGCACTGCTTTCGTTTTTAGCCGCTGTTGCATTGCTTCTATTCACCCTGGTGCAAACTGTGTTTACAGTCATGTCTTATTTCCAAAAGGATTAGCGTGGCACAGATCCATAAAGTACTGTCTTGTTTCAAATAAACTCTCCAACCATCTTTTCCATGTTAGACAATCTTCAGCTGAAGAAAGTCTGTGTTTGATGGATCAATGGTATATCTCTGCCTTTCTCCGATTCTGAATGAATGCTTATGTATTCGTGATTCTAATAGAACTTCATATGCCTGTATTTGATGGATCAATTATGTAATAATGACTATGCTTTGTTATTCTAATGCCGAATGAAGGTTTTTATTTTCTTTATCTTCCTTTTTATGTTTATCTTTCTAATTATAGTTTGAGCAATGTAGAATTTTTCTAGAACTATATAGCCCATTTGTTTTCTCATCATTATTCTTAATGTATTGTGTGATTTTTATTTTCACAAATTATCAGTCTTATCAATATCATCCCAAATTTATCAAAAATTAAGAAATATTGCTTTGTATGCAAGAACCTCGAGGTATTTTTTAATGTATTTTGGTTGTTCAATAGGAAAATTGCCTAACATCGAGTAGCTTTGGGATGGAATCGATAAGATTAATTATTTTGGGATGTAATTGAGATTAGGCATGTTAAATCGGATGAGGTTCCTTTTTTTTTTTTTTTATATGGCATCGATCAACCATGCATTCAGGCTTCCCTTGAATTTGACACTTGACTAGCTCTCATTTTATTTAATTAAGGTCTAAAAATCGAATAAACCATGTTACACTTGTATTATCATTTCATGTTTTATCTGGTATTATGGTTTAACCATGTTTTTAATATTTTATAAAAAAAATTAGCTTAAAATTGTTATTTTATATTTTAAGATTGTTTTAATATATTGATATTAAAAAAGAATTTTAAAATATATTATTTTTATGTATTTTTAAATAAAAAAATAAAAAACAACTTTTACCGTATTCTTGAATACAACCTAAAAACCCTTTTAATATCCAAGAAAGAGTTTCATTTTGATTTTTTTTATCCCAATTAAACAAGCAAAACTTTAGTAGATTAACAAAAACCTAAATTGCGCATTTAGACCTTGTTGTGATAGGAAAAGGCCCCATAGCTGGAGGTAATTCTTACCTATTTTGCGTGGTTGTCATGTTTGCCCGAGGGTCTCATCTAGTTTAATACTCGTTTCCATAATTTCTATCAAAATTTTTTTTATCTAAAATATATATATTTTAAATTTCTTAATCTTAACTTGATTTAACTTGCAAGAGTGTTAAATCAAGTCTATTAAATCTTACATCATACATCAATCTATTAGATTATTTATATTTGATTGATAAATATATAAAAAAACCAATTCAAAATAAACTCATATTAAATTAAATTTTAAGTTATTGAATTAAACTATATCAAGACAGGTTTAATAAAAAAAAATTTGAAGGTTTCAGTTTAAAAGGTCATTAGGATTGTCGGTCTGAACAAAACGATATGTCATGAATCGTTGCAAAAGGGTACAAGTTTAGCTCGAAGCCCATTATAACCTATTTGCCAAATCCATTATAACCACAGAAGGGAGGGAGATAAGAACATTATTATGGCCGGGAAAAGGTACAAATTTCCTGAAATAGATTCTTTCGTCTGTTTGCCAGAATATATGTTGTTAAGTAAAAAATCACGCATTGCAGTTATGGTTTAGCGATGAAAGAAGCTTGTTTTTTTTATTATTATGGGTTCAAACCCTAACATATATATTTGTTATCCTTATAATGTTTTACATGTTTATTGGATTTGCAAAGTATAAGAATTAATTGTGTTGTGCATAAGATAGTCGTTTGTTTTTTTTTTTTTATTATTATTATGGGTTCAAACCCTAACGTATATGCTTGTTATCCCTATAATGTTTTACATGTTTATTGAGTTTGCAGAGTATTCAGTGGGTTATAGGAATTAATTGTGTTGTGCATAAGATAGTCCGGACACCCCATATAAAAAAAAAAAAAAAAACAAAATCACCTGTGATCCTTTCTTCAATGTTCCTTAATGTTGGATACAATAGCCAACATATCATTCTCGTCCCACAAAAAAAATAAGGTTGGTGATTTTGTCCCCCCTGTAATGCAACAACCATCAAAATCTCCACTTATTTGTCCTATAAGAAGCAAACTAACCTGGGAAAATCATCAATCCTCTCTGCTAATCTCTTGTGTAGGCAAATTACATGCCCGTATATTCGCTTTAATAACATTACACAACACACAATTATAAAGCCTAAAACAAGCAAATATGTAAAACTAGCGACCGTTAGAGTTCTAATTTTGAGGGCTTTTGTCAATTAACGATCATTAATCTACCTAATCACTTGTCCCTATGTGGCCTGCTTGAGAATTAACATTATCACCTTGCCAACTCCAAACTATATCTTTCAGGGCAGGCCTGACATATTCTTCACAGAATTTGGTGTACTCAAAAGTGTCACCGGAGCACTTGGATAACTCGACCACCACAAGCTCGGCAGCCAACTCAAACACCTCTGCTGTCACCGCCAGTTTCCCCTTCCGTCCCTCCTCTTTTCCTAGCAATTTCACCTTAAATTCTGCATCACTCACTGCCACTCTGAAGTTCAACTTCTTTGCCACGGACTTAAACGTTGATAGGATCATTGATGCTGGACATTTTGAAGTGAACATTGAACCCCTTCTTCTCTTGGTCTCAAACAAACTTGATAAATCAAATCCTGATGACATTGAAGATATGAGTTCAAAAGCATTATAAAAAGGCGGCGAATGCTTTGATCCGGTTTTTCCTGGAAATTCCTCTTGATCTTCACTTCTAACTCCGTTTTCAGTATCTTCTAAATCATTAGGAGATGCAGTAGATTGAGCAAGACCTTTTTGGAACCAAGCATTTGCCCTGATCTCAGGGATTGTAATTCTCTTCTCAGGGTCCACAACAAGAAGGTTGGAAATCAACCTCTTGGCATCCCTTGAAATCCACGGTGGGAACTCATATTCAGCCTTTAAAATCTTCACATACATCTTCATGGCGTTCTCATTGCGAAATGGCAAGTGCCCTGAAAGCAGCACGAATAGAATAACCCCACAAGACCAGGTATCAGCTTTAGCACCATCATAACCCTTCTTTCTTATAACCTCCGGAGCCACATATGCAGGGGTGCCACACCGTGTGTGCAGCAAACCATCGTTCCATTTCTGCTCAGGCAAAGCAGAAAACCCGAAATCGGACACTTTCAAGTCTTCTTTGTCATCCAAAAGCAAGTTTTCGGGCTTTAAATCACGATGAGAAACGCCACGACTATGACAATAATCAACTGCACAAATCAACTGTTGGAAATATTTTCTTGCAAGATCTTCCCCCAGCCCTCCCTTCTTGATTTTGGCAAATAATTCACCACCTTTCACAAACTCCATTACAAAGAAAACCTTTGCTTTGGTAGCCATCACTTCTTTCAACTCCACTATATTCGGATGCTTCACAAGATGCATAATTGAGATTTCTCTCTCGATTTGCTCCATTAATCCTGTCCTCTTGACCTGATCCTTGTGCACCACTTTGATTGCAACATTTTCTTGTGTCACAAGATTCTTCCCTCTGTAGACCTTAGCAAACGTTCCTTGTCCTAACAACCTCCCCATCTCGTACTTTCCCAAGAGAATCTTTCTCGCAGCATTATTGATGTGGCAATCTTCTTCTGACACTTGCTCTGTTTCCATCATCTAAGACTAACAGGTATGTCCGAAGGTGAAATTTCTCTTCCCTCTATTATACTAGAGTAATTCAAGAAAAAAGAGAGATCATGAAGATGGTTATAGGAATTAAAAGGAGCAAGAAGATTTTCCCTGATAATAATTCAATGAGACCATAGTCAATCATCTTGCTGCTTTGGCCATAGGATTAACTAGGATAAATAAGATTTGTGGGGAAAAGATTGGCATCATGACCGAAAACATTGGGTGATTACAGGATGGGAGTAAAATGAGAGGAATTTGGTGGGAAAAATGGTGTTTAGTGGGGAAGCCAATGAGGAATCTAATGAGTGGATAGAAATAAGATTCTGAAGTGGCCATTGGAGGACATGGCTCATGGGTCCAGAGGGAGAGCCGGAGACAGTGAAAGATTAGGAATCTACATCTACAGAGAAAATATATGACCAATAAGAGGCTGGACGCATGGAAGTGGTGTCGACCATATTGTGTTGATTCGACTACACAGTGAACCTTCTAGTCTAGGCAATAGATGTCGGTATAAATGCAGGGATGATAATATAAGGACATCAAATCAGAGGAAAGATACTTCCAAGTATACACAAAGTATTATACGGTATGGAATCGAGCTATATGCTAAACGGCAAATCCAAGAAGGGGAAACGATTTCCATTTTGAGCAGGACAAGATGCACCATTTATTTGCGAAGGTTGCATCGTCACAAGATAGCGTGATTTTCTATATAATTATTTGTTTAATTGTTAAGCCTTTTTAGGATTTGTTTAGTTTAATAACTCTAATGGTAGATGAGAATTATTGGTTACATAACTTTTCAATTTAGAATTTTTTTTATAAGAATTTAGATTTAGTATAAATACATCTAAGATTATTTTCTTATAGTAGATTAGGAGATTATCAGTATTCATATTTAGAATTCATAAGATTAGAGTTTTGTATCTTGACAAACCTTATCATTATACACTACGTGATAAAAAGAGATTGAATATTCAACTGTCATTTACTCCCAAGAAATGACAGCCCAGGATTTAAGATAAGGCGGGCAACAAATGTTGGCCAGTCCAGGATTTACAGAAGAATGAAACAAGAAAAGATTTCGTCCACACGCCAGAGACTTCGAAAGTGGTTTTGAGTGCAAGAGTTATCCATCAACAGGCAACGATCCCTTATCCTTTTCTTTTCCAGATGAACATCAGAATAATAGCGTGCCACGTTAGTAGGATTGCATTACATCATGGAAATGGTTGATTGAGTAGTCCAATATAATGAAGTGTGACAATCTCTACGTCGTGGAAAAGTGTGTGAAATGATGGGGGATGGGTTAACCTCTTGATGAGATACACCACCTAGTGATCAAGTTGCGCGTAGAGAGACAATAATGTTTGAAACCATGCCAGTTCATTCAGGAACCAATCACAAGACAAGGCAGAAGACATATCTGCTCGAAGAAATATTAAATAAAGTTCATTCCTGTGGATTAAGTTAATTGGAAAGTTAATCATCAAATAAAACAACGTCCTTGGTAATGACGTAGACGAAATACATGGGATCAAGAATCGTGTAAGAGGTTGCCACTAGTTTAAAGACCTATAATTAAAGCATCCAGTGGGGCAAGATTAGCATCCAATAATATGATGACAGTAGTCACTGATATATTCATTGTGTTTTTGTCATTATTGCCGAGCAAGGGGATTACTTTTCTTCAATTTTACTCGAGGATAGAGGACGCTTGCGGATCTCAAAACTCAATAGCATGGCATAAACAGTAGGATAAATATTCAGCTCATCTGCTTGTTCTGACCTCTTTGAAACCAGTATTTCGTGGACCAACAGGAAACATCTGCCATAATTTGGCTACAAGCAATAGGATGCAATGCAATTTGAGAGAATAACAGAACTGTAGCTGTCAATCCTGATCTGATTCAGGAAAGGGTTTTTGAATTGTTGTTTCAATATTGGGTTAAAAATACTATCAAGTCAATCAGGTTTCACCAGAATAATGTTATTTTTTTACTCAGTTAGAAACCCTTCTCTGAGGTCACACTCTAGGTTTCAGATTTTCCGAGTCAAATGACCAGCCAGAACCAGGTTTATCAAATATGAATAAAACAAAAGGACTTTGAATTTTCTATCACACTACATGGTTGTACTCAATTTATAAAATTTGGGAAGATGTTTCATCTCGTTGCACCAGAGACTGGTTCGAGAGAAAAGGAAATGAGTTCAGCGTCAAGAAAATCGGTGCCAAAACCAAGGAGATGAGAAAGTCAGTCTGAAAGCAAATTTCTCCCCGGAAATTGGCCGAAAAAGATTTGCTATAGGTTCACCACTATTTCAATTGTATACAAAAATCTACGTTATTCCTTTACTGGAATTGAACTTTCAAATATGTGATCTATTTCTTGTACCTTCTAAAAGTATTTCATTCATATAACGAAGTCTAATTTGATTTTGTTTTTAAGTATGATATTTCAGCGAAAAACAAATCACATTAACGTCAGTTTGGACCTTAAAAAACCAGAGGGCAAAGACACAGCGACTTTTTTGCTTTTGCCTAGCTGAAACATTAACTTGGTTTATGTAAGTCAATAGCTGATTAAATTGACAAGCTCTGGTTCGCTTCAACCACTTAAAAAGTCAAAATACAAATCTTATAGACCAGAGACCTCACGGCACAGTCATGGTATAAACAACTGAAGAGTTAACCAAAATAATATGACTTTTCCTGCAATATCATCTAAGTTCCTAACAGTTTTTTTTTTTTTTCAAGAAAAGCTCCAAAGAAATTCTAGACTCAATGGAGACTGCATCAATAGCAAAATGTTCAGATGCGCATGTAGAAATTACACCTACTTAGCAAGACTGTTTATATTTGTGCCCCTGCATCCATAGTTATTAAATCCGGTTTGGTCCGGTGGACCTGTAACTTGTCAATTCAGAGCCTGACCCAGGCCAAGTTTTCTTTCTAACAGTTTTGAAAGGTGACCTAGTAAAACCCGATTAACCTCAACTCTGATGGGTTTTTTAAAGTTTTGTCCTAAACATCATCATTTTATTTTGCAAAAAAACTAAAACGATATCATTTTGGGATAGACTCGGGTTGACCTGCCAATGTTTGGGATGGATTGATAACTATGCTTGACATCTTTCTGTTCCTATATTTCGAGTGACATTTATGAATGAAACAAAAATCATCAAAGGAAATGCATGTGATTCCACAAGACCAGCACACAACAGGGAAAACCATGCTCCATGCATTGATGTCCACTGGCTAAACTCTTAACGTGTCTTACTACAAATTTTCGGACTTAACCAACAGAAATAAATTTTATAATTAATTTGAATTGAAGAGAATAGCCAAAAATGGAAATATGTGCAAGAGATGCTAGTTCTGCATGGCTAAGATATCCTCGACAAATCGAAGGCAGGTTTCTGTCAAATCAATTCAGGCAAAAGGTGGAGTAGAAACTTACTTCAGCTATCCTTGTACTTGCACATGACTTCTTCCCCTTGGAGCAACTTCTCTACAGCATCAAGAGGAAGGCCAATCATATCCATTGTCTTTTCCCATACTTCATTAGCAGCTCTTGTGTTATGTGCTTCGTTGGCAGCACGTGTGGGACGACAATCATGTGAGATATAAGCACAAGTGGGCCATTCATCAGCCTTCAGTGCCTTGCAGTATTCAGGAATTTCAGGAGCAGTAGCTGCATAAAGTGCACTTCTTGAACCTTCTTGGGCACTAAAGAGAAACAATGGTATGAAATTATAAGCAACTTGCACCAATTTGGGAAGGTCCCTTGTTACATTTGTGTGAACAGTTCCAGGAGATACACATAACACACTAATGCCAGCTTCAGGAGGCAGGCGTTTCTGTAAGACACTGTTGAACATGACCTGTGCAAGCTTGCTACTTGAATATGCCTTTGAACTATTGAATTTCTCTTTCCCCAAAGTAAAATTCATGTCATCTGTGTCGACAAAGCCCATATAATGCATAATGGAGTTCACGTTAATAATTCGGCTGGGAGAGCCCTTAACGAGAGATGGCAAAAGCAGTATAGAAAGCAACGCAGGAGCCAAAAAATTTACTTGCTGGTGTGTTTCGTACCCATCTTTTGAGAACTTCTGCGGCTCTCCCATGGAAAAGATTCCAGCATTATTGATAAGAACTTGCAAAGGTTTTGAGCGTGAGTTCCATGCCCTAGCAAATCTCACAACAGAAGCAAGGGAGAGAAGATTCAGCTCCATCACCTCAACACTGAGCAGGCTTGTTCCAGGTCGTTCATCCTTCCACTTCATGATCAAATCAAAGGCTGCAGATTGGTTTCGTACAGCCATAACAACATGTGCCCCAGACACAGCCAATTGCCTAGCAGTTTCAAGTCCAATGCCACTCGTGGATCCAGTTACAATACATGCAACATCATGGAGAGGAGGTAAAGGCAATGGATTTTTCAGATGCCTTGCTTGCATCTTTTGGAATAACATCTCATAAATTATATAAGACCACCCAGTGAGGCTTTTCATCCACCATGGTGTCCGTTTTACTTTTCCAGTGAATGAAGAACGATGAGAGGAATCCATACTTTCTCAATCAGATGCAGTAATTCCAAGTTTTATCAAATGGTTCGGTCACTAAAAATCAATGCTGACAACCTGCCATTCCTACAACAACAAATGGTAATCCACTTAGCATACGCTTCACAACCAGATTTCCGTGTTGATGAGAGATAAAAACAGTGACTACAATTATGGATATCTATGTAATAATTAACAAGACATATTTTGGAACTCGGATCTTAAACGTTGCAGGTTATGTCAAATCTGAGTTCAAAAGGAAATGAAGTTCCACAACATAAATAAACACACAATTGGAGCATATTAAATGCACAAATAGCCAAAGCAGCGATGTTCATATCCCCAGTCTATATGATAACCAAAGAAACTCAGGCATTGAAATCAAACCATGACAGAAGAAAATAAAGAGCCAGAGAAGAATTTTTTAAGATTTCAATCCCCTAGTTTGATCTAACCAATCATGGGTTTTGAAATGGAGAACTGGAAGTCAACGCCAATTGTTTTCTGCAGCATTATTTTTTTTGCATGTATGAAGTCAATCAATTAATTTCGAAGATTAGAATTTGCTTGCTGCAAAGCTAAAAACTTTGCTTCGCCATTACATTGTTCGCAAAACAAAAACACAAAGCTCAAAACTCAATACTCAAAACTTTGCTTTACCATTACATTGTAAGCAAAACAAAAGCACAAATGAAAGAAAGGTCACGACAGAATCCAAACAATATCCAGTCCATTGATAAATGTGGGAAAGAGAGACAAGAAAGGTAAAAGAAAAGTAACCTTTTTTAATGTAGATTTTGAGAATTTGATGCAGACCCTTGGCCACAAAACTCACATATGTTTGCATTGACCGATTACAATTACTATTCATTCATTCATTGTTTTGTTGTGTTTCAGATTCTCTCCAGGGGGTTAAAAAAAACAAAATCCTCGCTGGCTTGAGCCCACAAATAGCTTATGCTTGCCTGTCATTATGCATCTCTGAACCCCATCTCCATTGAATAAAGTTTTTGTTTTGGATTCTGACTGTCCATGGTGTTATTGCACGTGGGTTCGCTAGCCCTTCCTGAAAGGTTTTAGCTTTGACACCACATTTGCCATTTACTCCCTAGTTGGGCCTCTACATACGGAAGGATGGCCAACGCGACAAAGTGAACGACCTGTCGGTTAGCCTTTGAAGGGTTTTTGCTCTTTTTTGGTTTTCGAAGCTTGATAGACAGAAACCCTCCAGATAATTCGCAGCCCAAAACTAGGAAAACCCGAAGTTGAACAGTGAACACAGAAAACACAAACTTCGTTGTATCTTTTGTTCTGTTCTTTCTCAGTTTCATCAAACAGGTAATAAAGCTTCCTCCTTTATCATACTTTTTTTCTTTTATTAATTTAATGACTTGAAGAATTTATCCGTTTGAACTGGCTTTTAGGTTCTTGAAGTTGTATCTTACCTTGGCATTAATTTCTTGCTCTTGCCTGTGTCTTCTCATTGAGAAAATTTTAATCTATCCATGATTTGGATGCTATATAGTGTGTGCTATTACTGTTAGTTAATTCTTTTCCTTTCTTTTTTGAAAATATTTAGGGGAAAGATTATGTCAAGGTCTAGACTTTCAAGAATTGGAGTTGGGATAGTTAAAGAGCTTTCAAGAGGTATGTAATACGCTCACATCTATTTCCATTTGTTCTTCTTTGGAGCAACGTGTTTTGTTTTTTGGAATCTGCTCGTAGCTGCAGCTACTGTGTAGGACAAATTCATGTGTGATACAACTTCGAAGTTTGATTGAGAGAGTAACATTACTGAAAAATGTCAATTTGCACTTTTTAAAAAAAAATGAAGTTTCATTGATCAAAAAGAAGTAGGAGCTCATCCTACTACAAAACCAAGTGTCGGTAACTGATGACAAGAATGATGAAACCAGGCAAAATTCCAATGGATGTATATAGAATAAAGGCTTTTATTTAGAACAGCATCTTTTACCATTTAGTCTGAAGCAGCCTATAAAAAACAACTTGGCAAATCCACTTAGTCAGCTCATCAGGAGAATACCCCTATTTCCATGAACTCTTTGATTCTTTTGCTTCAAAATACCATATATTGCAGCATTCCAGGCAATTCTAACTAAAGTATATTGAGAAAGCTTCTTTTGCAAGTGAACTTTAGCCCAATAAAACTCCATTGTCCAATTCCAACTGGTCTGCTAGAACCACATTCTGCATGATGACCGACAAAACAGCCCTAGATTAAGTGCTGTTAAAGAAAAGATGGTGTTAGCCCTCATCAGCACAGCCACAAAGCAAACAACAGCTATTTCTTCCCAACCTGATCTGCCTTACTTTGGTAGATAGCCTTATAAGCAGTGTGCCAGACAATAAACTATGTCTGGGAATATGGATGGGTACCCAGACAAGTTTATATCAGACTTTACTTCTCTGTATTTAATAAGTTCCCAAGCACTTCTGGCACTGAAAACCCTGTTAGGACTAGGCTTCCAATTAACACTACAATCACTCAAGGGATCAGGATGAATCAAATCACAAATAGTCCCTGGAATTGTAGCCATAACATCAGCTCTGGCATGAGGCCAGAACCATTCCTGATCTTTAATAACCATAGCAAGTTTTGCATCCAAATCGATTCCAGACTCAAACAACCCTGAAGCCATGTTCTTTGATTAGAACACCAATAGGGTACCAATAATCCCACCATAGACTTGGATTTACCATTACCAACAGCATTTTGGATTTTGTCCCAAGCCAAGCCTCTGAGTTGCGGGAGCCTTTTCCAATACCAAGCAAAATCACCTGTACTTTTCAGATGAATAAATGCTTTATTATTCTTGTTGTAATACCAAACACTTCCTTGTTGTGCAGAACAATGTACAGCCTTGTGTAGAAAATCATTTATAGGAAGGCCTTTTAGTGCATGTTGGCGATCTCAGGTTAGTCCAAGGCGCCTATAGTTTTAATTGGAGTGATCTTCTGGTTTCCGTATTATTCTTATTTGTAGATGTCCACTGGTTCTTAATTTTGAAACAGGTCGAATTACACCCAGAATCTAAGGGGTACCAGGGTATTATATTTCAAAAGCATCATCAGTTTTCTAGCACAGCTACCAGTAGAGATTCTGCAGATGGGAGTGACCCGAATGAGATGTAAGCTCTTTTGTGTTGAAGTTGTTTTTTACTGTTTCAAGAATTTGGCATTTGTGATGAGTACTTAATATCTTATCTCTACTCTTAGGAAGCTTAACTATGACAGCACCTGAAATTATCATAACCTGTAATATCATTTAGAAATTCTTCAGTAGATCCTGAGGAAAACTAGAAACCATGAAAATTATTCTTAGAAGATTGTTCAGTTGATTTGTTAGATGCCTATAATCTTGTATATATCGGCAATAAGAAAACAGGAGGTTTGTGCAAGCTTATGTAGGACCTCTCACTTCCTTTGGAACTTTTGGTGACAATTTGCTGTCATGTTCTATATGCTAACTCGCAGTTCACTAAGAAATAGCTTCCATAATTGTTCTGTGTTGTCATCAGGATTCTTTCCCTTATAATTGTAATCCTAGGACACCTCCTCTATTGAAAGTTTTGTGTGAATCATTTCAAGGATACATGGTCAAACACATGATAATGGTTACAAAAGTAACTTGATATTAGAAATTGTCCATAAAAAGTATATAACCCTGTCCCTGTATGTATCTTGTGGGAGTTCCTGTCTTGACATGCCATACCCATCTTAAAGCATCACTCATGTTTGTATTCTTGGTTGATAGCTTTAGTCTAATGAAATGACTGATTAAGTTTGCGTTTCTTTTTGATTGAAAATATATTTGCAACAGACCTAGAAGAATAATTATATAGATGATGTGGATTCAATGCTCAATTACATAGACTCAAAATTCCAGAGGAAAAACTATAGTAGAAACTAAGTAGTCATCCTTGCTGGAGGACTATGATATACTGTAACTGCAACAAGAATACTGTCACACCAAGTCGTAAGTCAATCTGCAACAAGGTTTGTTTCCTTGTGAATTTGGCGCAAGTGCAAACAGTGTACGAAGATCTCAGCTTCTGAACTGCTACCCTATAATCTAATCAAGGAAGGCATTGTAGGCGTTTAGTCTTCAAGCAAGACCCTGGATGGAGATTTGAGTTCTGCATGCTTTGGCTATTGTTGAACATTCCATAAATGTGTTCAAAACTAACAATAGGCGCAGGGCTAACTGAACTGATTAGTTTTATTACTGATAAGGAAAGAAAAGGAGCAAATCAGTTTGACAATTGTGGTGGTATGATTATTATTAATTGCAGAAGTTATCTGCCACCCTTCTTCTCAATCTGGTGATGTCTGTGCAGGATATCTGTAACATTTGTAGATAAGGATGGAGAGGAAAAGGATATCAAGGTCCCAGTTGGAATGTCCATGTTAGAAGCTGCTCAAGAAAATGATATAGAACTTGAAGGCAAGGATTATAATGTGATTTTTTAGGTGAACTTTTCCATTTCTGGTGGTTTATAATTGGGTTTTCTGTTTCTATAATGTTTGCATTGTAGCAAATGTAGGCATAGAATATTCCACCCATCCTGTCTTTTAGTGATGAGATTTTTATTTATTTTTTATTTTTCTGCTTTTTTTTTGTCCGTATTCTCCTTCCATTTCTGAATTAGAAAACTTTGAGTGGATCATTCTGACGCATTTACTTAATAGTTTTTTTATTCTGTGCTTTTAATGTCATGCCAGGAGCATGTGAAGGCTCGCTTGCCTGTTCGACATGTCATGTGATTGTGACGGTATGATACTGGACATAGCTTATGTCATAGTACCATGATTATCTCGAACTTATGAGGTACTTAATGTTGAATCTGCTTGTAGGACATGGAATACTACAACAAATTAGAAGACCCAACCGATGAGGAGAATGACATGTTGGATTTGGCCTTTGGGCTTACAGAAACGTGAGTTCTGTCAGCATCAAAACACTAAATGGATTTGTGGGCGTTGAATCTATATTGATTTTCCATGTTTTGAATTTTGCAGTTCTCGCCTGGGCTGTCAAGTGATCGCAAAGCCTGAGCTCAATGGCATGCGCTTAGCTCTTCCTGCTGCCACTCGTAATTTTGCCGTTGATGGGTATGTTCCAAAACCACACTAGATATGTTCTGGTACCAGAATGTGTTTGTTGTGTGGAAAAAAAAGAAGCAATCTTCACAGTTTTGTAGCTCCTTTACTGTAGTGGATCAATGAGCATCTCCAACAATCAAGTCATCCCTTTCCATTGATTATTACATATCTGTCTCAATAATCACTTTCCCGAGGTCTTAAGAGCATACAGCATCAATGTTACCATTTCCTGGTCAGCTAAGTTGTTGCTAGACCTTGAAATTTCTATCATATAATTTATCTCCAAACTTTACAGAATATGTAACTCAGTGCATAAATTTATTATATAACATTCTTTCAAGGACTGAATTAAGTTAAAACGTGAGAGAAGTTGGTTGGTTAGCGATTTTTACTTTGGAATTTGGATTCTTAGCTATGATATAAAATGATGAAATGATCAACGAGTCCCGGCTATGGCCAGGCTTCGCCAAAAATTCTTCTAATTTGGATAGCATCATTTACTCTCCGTTGAAACTATGCCTGTACATTGGAGGGCGTGGCAGGACATGAAAAACACCCATGCTACCAGATTCAGTGAGACCTGTCTGCTAATATAACCTTGTGAGCTAACCCTACCGCACCTAGCTAATAGCACCCATGTTACCAACATCATCACCATTGCCTTGTGAAAGGTTTTTGGAAGAGACTTTATATCACAAGTGTTGTAGAGAAATTCGACACTAGACATGACAAGACAAGAAAAGGATTAATGCAACTCATTGCAATCAGCTTAGTAGAAAGATTAATTTTAGCTGAGTGGTGCTCGTGTGGGGTTGGGGACGTACCCTCTCAATTAGCGCTGCGGCTTTAAGCACACCAGTGATGAAGTCCTCCGCTTGAAATGGCTTTCTGGTGTCAATATTGAGCTCTGGGACGTTTCCGGCATCACAGTCATCAACATTATGATCATTTTTTATTGCTGCATTCAATTACATTAACAAGACGCGCAGCTGTGGAACTTGCAAGCTCAACTAACCTGTCAAAGTGGGCACGACGAGAGAGCTGAGATCGTTGGTGATCACACCGAGCTTCAAACTGAGCTGAGTTGAAGAGTTACGAGAGAGAATTTCCGAAGGTAACAAGCCATCACATTGTTCAGGTTCTACTAAATCCTGAAGGTTTGGGATGATATCTCCATCTATGTGAGGGAATTTGAGGAACTGGGCCAGTTCATAGGCTATTTTGCTCTTGTTACTGCTGGAATGGCCTTTCATTGCTATGAGAAACGGGGACTCGAACTGTTCTTCATTATCAATCTTTGGCTCCATTTCCTATCTTCCCACTGCTCTTGAATAATTGAAAGCTAGTATCATTACATCCCACCATCAGTAATTTATGTAGCCCTAAGAAATCGCATAGAAAGATCCCTAAGAGAGAAGAAGACTTCAACCAAATGATTTAATTACTATATTGTTGAATTGCTGTAAACCAAAAAAAGAATAAGTATCTTTCTATTCCAACGTTCATAAGTTTCAGAAATTCTTTTAAATATATATATATATATATAGATATATATATATATATGTGATTGAATTAATATAGAATGTCATGAATCAAATGACACGAGAAGCTTCCTTGAAAATTAATTTGAGATATATGGTGTTTATATACTAAAACGCTATCCATTATCTTCTGCTGGACATTGAACTATATAATAGAAAAACTCTTTAAGTGAATTATATAAATTTTTCCGAAAAAAGTAACCTATAAAGGTCATTACACGCTAATATTTTTAATGTAAGAAAAAAAGAAATTGATTGGCCAATTTGATTTAGCATACTAATTTTCATTATTCACTTATTGAAAGTTTAGTCACAAGCATCATTATTCCATTTCTTTCAATTTTACTTAGATTCTCAATATCATAATTACTTGAGAAAACATAAATCAAACCATGCCAAAATCCACCTACAAACTACTTAGTATATGTCTTTAACAATTTGTACAAGGTATAATAAGGTCATCCAACGTACTATATATCCAAAGTACATTGAAAATGGATGTCGTGTCTCCCATGATGTCAAAATTGCTTATGAACTTCTCAATCTAGCTAACCTCGTCACCTCCAACGAGTGGATTTTCTCACCAATTGTCAAATACACCACAAAAACAATCTTAATTTCCCAATTCCGGCACCATTATAACACTATCTAGAATGACTTTTTGTTTCGGTTTAACGTGTTTATCAAAGTATTTATTTTAATTCTTTTTTAATTGAAAATTTATTAAAATTAATTTTTTTATAATTTCACAGTGCTAATAACAAACATTTAAAAAATATAAAAAAATATTATTCTAATATATTTTCAATTAAAAAATATTTTTATAAGAGTATACTAAATAATATTATCAAACACACAACAGACACACAGTTACACAATTAGAACTCTACATGATTTTTAAAAAATATTAGAAATTGATTTTTTTTTAATGTAAATAGGAACATTAAACTATCTTTGGAGGTGACACAATAAAGTAAATGCATGCATCACCAGATGTAGCTAGCTTGGTCTTCTCTTTAGTAGAGGTAGAAGAGAAGAGGGAATTTTCAAGATCATGAGGCAGAAGAGAAGAGGGAATTTTCAAGATCATATAATCCATTTGCAATGGAATCTTTGCAGGTGGGGCATGTGCACGACACGATCTTTTGTCTTTCTAATTTCTAACATAAGGTATATTTGTTATTGCAAGAGCATCTCCTATCTAAAATGTTATTTTGAGAAGCTAAATTGATAAAATAATATTTTAAATAATATAAATATAGCTTATTTTATCATATCTATTCCAATGGAAAAAAACCATTTGAAGAGTCATTTATATTGGAGTGAAAAAAATAAGTGTTTTATTATTTTTTAATATTATTTAATATTATTTTTTTCCTACATGTCTACATTTAATTGGTTTATTTTTTTAGTGGTCTCACTTTGTTGGTTTTCGATCTTTAAAGAGATATGTAGAAATAGCATTTGTGGGAGAAAAAAGATATTTTAGCATTTTATTTGACTTTTTCTTGGAGTGTGCAAAACAAATAAAAAAAAATGTGTGGTCACTTTTCCATTTTTCCATGTGTTGCTGATCTCATTCATGGCATCATAAGGGTAGACATGACGAGGCTGGGGTCAGCCATAAAGTTACATGATAAACAAGTCATCGCTTCGGCCGTGGTAGACTTCCATGATGGTTTGGATCAGCAGGCTCATGAAGTTCAATTTATATTATCTTGATAAATATTTTGGAGTTCGGTTTTTTTATTTATTTATTTATTTATTTATTTTGGGGTTTGGTTTTCCTTTTCTTTTTCATGATACATTTAATTGGTTTATTTTTTTAGTGGTCTCACTTTGTTGGTTTTCGATCTTTAAAGAGATATGTAGAAATAGCATTTGTGGGAGAAAAAAGATATTTTAGCATTTTATTTGACTTTTTCTTGGAGTGTGCAAAACAAATAAAAAAAAACCAAAATATTAATTTTTTATTTCTGACTATCTATTTGGCTTCTCCATATTGGAGATGCTCTAAGGGTAGACATGGACGTAGCTGGGGTCAGCCATAAAGTTACATGATAAACAAGTCATCGCTTTGGCCGTAGGAGACTTCCATGATGGTTTGGATCAGAGCAGGCTCATGAAGTTCAATTTATATTATCTTGATAAATATTTTGGAGTTCGGTTTTTTTATTTATTTATTTATTTATTTATTTTGAGGTTTGGTTTTCCTTTTCTTTTTCATGATAACAAGAAGAGAGGATAGTTGAGAATGATCTGAATAATACATTTTTTGTGCAAATATACCCGATACTGCTTGACCATTATTGTTAAATAATATTCTTCCCATGTTTTTCAATATAATCAATTAAGGACCGAAGATTCACTTGATCATGACATAAAAACAGTCAAAAAGACCGATTGGTATATGGTTTTTGAATCGAATCCTCTCTGTTCAAACAAAGTGTACCGGTTTCACACTTTTCATTCAAGAAATTTGGTAGCTAATGAAAGGATGTCAACAGATACATTTTATTTGGATAGCATGCATATAGTCATCTCGTCAGTCAATTCTAATTGTACAAGTAAACAATAATAATAGGTTTAGAAGCGGATGATGGTCTGAAAATCCAGAATATTAGGGGAATTATTTTTCATCACATTTGAATTATGGATAATTACAGGTATAACTAGCTATTTCAGGGATTGGCGATAGAGATGGGGTTTCCTGCAAAAAACAAAAAAACAAAAAAAAAAGTTCTTTTAAAAAAGTTATAGAGATTATTCAATGATTAAGTCAGTATTTTATGAACATTAAATTCAAAAAATAAAAATATTTATTTTTTATTTATGCATAATAAAGGTTAATAATAAATTATAAAAAAATGAAGGATCTAAACTCCCTGCTTTATTAGGTTATTCAAAGTATATTTATAGTTTTTTTTTTTGAGAGATTGTAAGTTTTTTTTCTTTATCTAAATAGGAGAAAGATCCTTCCGATTAATATTAATATTGATAGTTAGTGTCTCTTTACACTAACATTGATAATATCACGTGTTTTATATAAGATTATCTTATGTTAATCTATACATAATATTATTATTGTCCATGGGATCATTTTTTAGAATCAATATTATTATTGATTTGAAGATGCCTCTTAGAAGACTTTTTAACATGCTAAGGAGTAGGGGGGACATGTTGATCTTAAATTTTCACTTCGAGCACTTGCTCTTAAAAAAATACCTAGTTTAAAAAAGATTAGGTTTGGTAAGGTATTAAATTCACAGGTGTTTAGGTTTGGCATGTGGCCGTGTTTAATGGAATTAGATCCGGTAAAGTATCAAATTTACATGTGTTTATTAGCTGAGTCCCAAAAAATTAAATCTAGCAAGGAATAAGTGCTTTGAGCACGTAGCAGAAAAGAGAGGAAAAGATTAGATTTAGTAAGGTATTAAATTCACAAGTGTTTAGGTTTGGAGTGTGGCCGTGTTTAATGGAATTAGATCTGGTAAAATATCAAATCTACATGTGTTTATTAGCTGAGCCTCAAAAAATTAAATCTAGCAAGAAATTAGACTTTTAATACTTGAATTTGATGAGCAACTAAATTTAAAACATTTAAATTTAAAATATTTAAATTTAATAAAATACCAAAGGCATAAATGCTTTGAGCACGTAGCAGAAAAGAGAGGGCAATATGTTTGCCTAACCTTCTTATCCCAGGCCCTGCTCTTAATATGTTGAGCTTCTCTTTCGTTTTTATCTCTTTAGGTTTTTATAAAGAAATGCCTTTTGGTACGAAGTAATTTGATCCA